ACGAGGGAGGTTCTTGAAAGAACAGAAGTCGGACCCTTGGACAAAGGCCATTCTTGCATATGTGCCCAGATGGGGGTTTTTCCTTCCCCGTTACCAAGACCTGCTAGAAGCCACCCTCCCCGCCTTGCTTCTGAGGCACCTAACTGCACTGGGTCTGCTTCCTCTCATCACAGCACAATTAAAAGTTGGGAGACATTAACGCCCCCGGCCGAAACAGTGAGATGAAGTGGGAAAGCACCTGGGGGAGCATTTACTATGGTGGGTGGGACCACGGGGCAGTCTGTTCCCCTTTGGACTTTTTCTGTAGACAAGGGCTAGGCTAGATCAGTGGTTTTCACACGGTTTGGGGCTGTGGATCCCTTTATTCAAACAGAAGGCAACGGGAAAAGCCCAAAGTTAAAAGAAAAAAAGATGCATCTGTATGTATCTCTAGATCTACATATCAAAGTCAAGCACTTGCAAGGCTTATGTTTCTCGTCTCTGTCCTTCCACAAAGGTGGGTTCGCCCAATGTACCTTTTAGAGAAAATCAGAACTGTAAGCCCCACTTAGGACACGTGGGGCAGTTTAAAAACTGGTGGACCAGATGATCTGCGAGGTAGTGGCTTTCCGTTTTGTTGACTATGAATCAGACTACATTTTACATTGCAGCCCAGAACACAAACACACATGCATGCATGGGCAGAGAGAAACACGTCATCAAACAACACTTAACCTACTGCAATTCACCCTCAAATTACTATTTCATTTTTTTTCTTTTAAGGCTGGTTGTGACTCAAGTACATTTACAATCCCTACTGGCTTTCAACCTGCATTCTCCCCAAACACTTCTGGGTCAGAGGAAGCCAGAGCCCTCTGCACACATGCTACCACTCTTGGGAATCTTGGGAGCATGTCAGTTCCTCCTCCCCTCTGTTTTTTATTTATTTTTATTTTTTTATTTTTTTTAAGATTTTTTATTTGACACAGAGAGCACAAGCAGAGGTAGAGGGGGGGAGAAGCAGGCTCCCTGCTGAGCAATGAGCCCAATGTGGGACTCGATCCCAGGGCCCCGGGATCATGACCTGAGCCGAAGGCTGCCGCTTAACTGACTGAGCCACCCAGGCATCCCTCCTCCTCCCCTCTGATACACCTGAAATAAAAGGACATCTTGGCAAAAATCCCTTACGACATACTAGACAGATATATTCAGAAAAATACTGGGTTTGGGGCGCAAACAAGATACTACACTTCACACCCACCAAGATGGTTATAATCAAATGACAACCAGTGCTGGTAAGGATGTGGAAAAATGGGAACCGTCATACACTGCTGGTGGGAATGTAGGATGGTGCAGCTGCTTTGGCATGGTCTACCAGTTTCTAAAAAAGTTAAGTCACCACATGACCCAGTAATCCCACTCGTAGGTATATATACCCAAGAGAAAACATGTCCACAAAACCTTACGTGCAAACGTTCTTAGCAGCTTTATCCATAAGAGCCTCAAAATAGAAACAGCGCAAATGCTCAGCTGATGAATGGATAAACAAGATGTGCTATATCCATACAAGGGAATATTATTTGGCAGTTAAAAAAATGAGGTACCAGGGGCGCCTGGGTGGCTCAGTCGTTAAGCGTCTGCCTTCGGCTCAGGTCATGATCCCAGGGTCCTGGGATCGAGTCCCATATCGGGCTCCCTGCTCAGCGGGAAGCCTGCTTCTCCCTCTCCCCCTGCTTGTGTTCCTGCTCTTGCTATCTCTCTCTCTCTGTCAAATAAATAAATAAAACCTTTAAAAAAAAAAAAATGAGGTACCATGGTGGAACCTTGAAACATTATGCTAAATGAAAGAAATCAGATACAAAAGGCCACATTTTATATGATACCAAGGACATGTTCAGAATAGATGGATATAGTTGCCAGGGGGCTGGGGCTGAGGGATTGCCAGGAGAATGGCAAGTGACTGCTAATGGGCACGGAGTTTCTTTTTAGGGCAATGAAAATGTTCTTGAATAGATAGTGGTGGTGGTTGCACAACCTCGCAAATGTATTAAATACCACTGAGTCGCATACTTTAAAATAGGAAACTTTATGCTGAGTTGTATCTAAAGAGCAAAAGGGAAGAAAACTGCATTGAATAGGGCTGTGACCAGTTCAAACCGCTCACAGGCACATAACTGTCACCGCCAGAATGGATGCACGTCAGAGCTGAGAAAATGGGAACTTCTCATGCTTTCATTGGACGGTATCAATACATTAAAAAAAAAATCTTGAAAGCACTCTGAAGTGGATTCCACCATTATTTCCCTCATTCAGAAGAGGAAATGGCAGCACTTAGCTCATGTGTTAACTTGATCGAGGTTACACAGAAAGCTATGGTAGAAACCCCAGTCCACCCAGTGTTCTGTCCACTACAAATTGTTTGCACATTTATATTCCTAGTAGGCAAATACTCAAGGGCAGCAATCATTGTCTTGTCTTTTTTTTTTTTTTTTTTTAAGAGAGAGGGAGAGCAGAGGGAAAGGGAGGGAGAGAATCCCAACCGGGCTCCCCGCCCAGCACCCAATGCGGGGCTTGATCCCATGACCCTGAGATCATGAGCTGAGCCGAAACCAAGGGTTGGACACTCAACTGAATGAACCACCCAGGCTGCCCTTTATTCATTTTCTTTACCTCAAACCCTATCTAGTAGCACTTGGCAAGTATAGAGACAAGTCAGTTAAATTCATTCATCAAATATTTGTGCTTCTGCTATGTTATCAGGCACTGGCAACACAGTCATGAACAAGACCAAGTTCCTAGGGACCAAAAATGTATCATTTCAGGTACTAATAATTGCTCTACGTGAAAACAGAGAAGAGGGAGTTCAGGAAGACTGCCCGAGGAAATCAAGTAAGGAAACAAGCCACAAGATCAGGAGGCGGTGTCTTCTGGAATGAGGGAAGGGTGGGAACAAAGGTCCTGAAAGAGAAATCAACTTTGATTGGTCAAAGGAGGAACAAGGTAGCAGGTATGTGAGCAAGACTGAAGGGTGGTGATGAGGTTGCCAAAGCAGATTCAACCCAGTGCTGTCAGGTCTTGCAGGCCATAGGAAAGAATCTGGATTTTACTGAGGCAGGCTATTGGAGGGCTTTTGAGCAGTACTACGACCTGGCTCAAGTCACTGGGACTGGAATGGCCTTTGTGTGGCTCAGTGCTGGAGAGCAGACAATACTTCTGACAGTATTAACTCAATGCGGAGTCAATGAGGACAACAGGGACTGAAATAAGATGGGGATGAGGTCAGAAGACAGCGGTTAAAAATGCTATTTTGGACATGTTCAATTCCTATCTCTTTTAGATATCCAAACTGGGTTTATCAAGTAAGCAGCTGGATAGCTGGATAGGTCAGGGGTAAGTTTAGACTGCAGAGAAACTTGACAAGTCAACAAAATGGTGACATTTGAAGTCAAGGAAGTGGGGATTAAATGTAGAGAAAGCCACCAAGGACAAAGACAAACTCCATCACTTTGTGTTTGAAAGGAGCCAGTAGATATAAAAGGACCAGCTGGTGAGATAGGAGGAAAACCAGTGTTGCATCTGGAAGGTTCCAGCGTTGTCTCCTAGAACCCAAGTGAAGAAAGTGTTTTAACAAAGGAGTGAACGACTGAGCCAAATCCAGCCAAGGACCGGTAAAGGATCAAGAATTGATCATTCAGAATGGCAAAACAGGGACTATTGCTAACTTTAAAGGGCAGTTCGTCAAGTGGAGGAATGAAAGCGTACTGAAGGAACAGGATGAGTGAACACATGCAGTGAATGAACGAATGGCAGGCTAGAGACATAGAAGGCCCCAGTGACGTTCACTGGTCTGCTCACATTGGAAGGGATAAGTCATCAACAACCATTTTAGAAACTGGATATTCTGTGCTTTTCCTAAATCACAGAATTATAAAATCACAAGGAAGTCATGTGGAAGATGTGAAGACTTCCGTCGCGGCACACAGGTAAGATGCAGTTAGGGGTCAGACTACTTGAATTCACTCAGAGAACCAGCTGCATTTAAGTTTTGCCTCCTTACAAATCACTCTAAAAACCTACCTATAGGGCGCCTGGGTGGCTCAGTTGGTTAAGCAACTGCCTTCGGCTCAGGTCATGATCCTGGAGTCCCGAGATCAAGTCCCGCATCGGGCTCCCTGCTCGGCGGGGAGTCTGCTTCTCCCTCTGACCCTCTTCCCTCTTGTGCTATCTCTCATTCTCTCTCAAATAAATAAATAAAATCTTAAAAAAAAAAAAATAAATAAAAACCTACCTATAAAAAAAACAGCCCCTTTGTGTCCATGCCCCTCAGATGAAAACTGTCCCACTAAGTCTTAAAATGTGTAGACATTTTCTGTTGGTTTTAAATGCCAGAAATTATAATCACATCAACTGCCCATGTGTCACCCTGCTCAGCTTAGATTCATGGTGTCAAATATTCCCTTTTAACTTTTTTTTTTTTTAAAACAGAGAGTGAGTGAGCACAAGCAGGGAGAGCGGCAGCAGAGGGAGAAGCAGGCTCCCCGCGGAGCAGGGAGCCCGATGCGGGACTCGATCCCAGGACCCTGGGATCATGACCTGAGCCGAAGGCAGACGCTTCACTGACTGAGCCACCCAGGCGTCCCTACACTTAACTTCTTATGTTGCTATTTTACCTTCTACAAACCAACTCCAAGTTTCCTCAAGTCACTTTGCTTTGCTAAATCTTCAGTGCAAAAATGACTTGCTTGTCATTAAACACGCACAACCTAAGAGGGAGGTTGCTCCAGTCATTCCTTAGCCTTCCTTCCCTCACTCCCTGGAATGTGCCAGGCTCTTTCTGCCTCTCAGGCCGTACACAGATCCTGCTCTGCTTGAAGTGCCTGGCTGACTTTGCCTTGTCTGTCACGTATGTTCCAGTCGCACCATACACTCTCCCTTCATAGTACTTACCACATTCATTATTAAAATAAGACGGTAGAATAATTTCACCATCATTTATTTTCCTTGCCCAAACCTCACTGTGTCAAAGGTGCCACGGGGGTAAAAACATTAGGTTTAACTGTTAAGATTTCAGGGGGGGGAGGGGGGGAGGTGGTTTTCTGCAGTATTGAGACGGTTAAGTAAAAGTGAGTGGCCAACGTTTTTAAATTTAGAAATTTATTCTGTTTAATCCACAAGCTTTATATAGCTTTAGTTTAAAAAAAAAAACAAACAAAAAACAAAAACAGTGAAAACAAAGACACTATTTCAAAGTCTGGGCCCTTCCAGCCTTCCAAATACGAGAGCTCTGAAGGTTGTATATACCGATTGGAAGAACAAGACAAAATTATGAATGGAGCCATGACATTTCATAAAACAAACTTTTATATAACTGAAGGATCCTTCCTGGGACTAGTTAATTGCCTTTACAAAAAAAACACAACAGAATAGAATGAAATTCCAGTGTTCCAAATCAACTTGTTACACATCAATATAAACCCACAGTGTCCTGGCAAACAACATGCTTTCATTTTCCATCTCGTCCTAGAGCTCGAATCCTGATTCATTTCAGCAGAGACTCCACAGGCAACAGGAAAGATTGTGGCATTAAAATATTCATTTATACTTTTGTGGGAGTTCAACAGTGGTCTTATTTCTGGGCAAGCTTGCAAACCATACAAGGTTGGAGGCATCATAACTTAAATGGGTGCTAAGACTCAAATGAGAAAAAATAAAAAGAAAAAATGAAAAGGAAGAAAACCTCTGGGAATAGCCAAGGCCTTTAAAGAAACCATAAGAATGCCAACAATATTGAAACCCCCTTTTTTAAAAAGGGGACTTTTTTTGGCTTAAAATATTTCAGTCTAAATGAATTTATGTCAGCTGTCAATGAAAGAATGTCACTAATACACTGTGGACACCTTTTGCAATGTAAATCCATGCCCTTTTTTTTTTTTTTTACATGGTGAACTTCAACCTAGCAATTATTACAACAAATGTTATAGTCTAAAGCTCAAACACATTTTAGCAATTTTGAAATTGAATTGCGTACAAACCAAATAAAATGTACATCGTGACACACATTCCCGCCTAAGACTGTGGGGACACTTGAGCCTTCCGCATCGACCTCAGCGCCTTTTCGCGCAGGTGCTTTTCTAAGTCGTCGAGGTTGTCTTCGGGCTCGCTTTCGGTCTCCTAAAACCAGAGGGGTCACACTGGTGAGTCCTGAGACACTGGCGAAGAGGTGTAGGGCGCAGGACAGAACCACATCATGGCGGCAGCCACACAACTCTATGAATACACTAAAAACCCCTCAATCACATACTTTCTTTCCTTTTTAAAAAAATTTTATCTTTATTTAAGTAATCTCTACACCCAATGCAGGGCTCAAACTCACAACCTTGAGATCAAGAGGTGCGTGCCCTACTGAGCCAGCCAGGTGCCCCTGAATCACATACTTTCAATAGGTGAATGGCATGTTAATTATATCTCAAAGAAATTATTCTTAAAAATCTACATTAAGCTTTTGGCAGCCATTCACATTCTTCTCCTTACTCTTGGCAAATTCCCGTTCTTGGCAGATCATCAAGAATGATGATAGATCAGGAGAGAGCTAACAGCCAAGTAGCTGTTACTGTAAAAAAATCTTTAGCTCCTCCTCAACATCAAATGACTTAGTGAACTGTAGGAAGTGCAAGGCACACGTACCTTCTTAGGCTCGGGCTCTGCCTCCGGTTCCTCCTGTGCCGATGTGGTCGTGGGGGCAGCGGGGGCCGCAGGGGTGACGGCTGCTGCGGCGGCTGCCGCCACGGCCTTCTCCTTCTTGTGTTTTTTGTGCTTCTTGTGCTTCTTATCCTTTTTGTGTTTCTTGTCCTTCTTTTTCTTCTTTTTCTTTCCACCTCCTTCTGGGTCTGAGTTCTAGAAATCCAGAAAAATCACAATAAAATCAATCAGACTAAAATGCTGTCCAACTAAACATTTTATTTTCTCAAGGGAATAACTGAACGGACAAATCTCAGTATTTCCTAAGGCTTCGGGGGAGAAAAAGGCCCAAGGGCAATCCCTGCCAAGAAAAGTATGTTGAGACGAAAACCACACTGTAAGCAAAGATGCTCTTCACAGATTCTAAGAGTCAGAATGGGTTTTCCCCAACTAACAGCACATATAAGCCATGTTTCCCAACCACAAGCTGCCAGCTGGGTGGGTGTTCAGGATCCAGAGCCACCTCCAAACGTAAGGAAAGCAGCACGTGCAAAAGAAAGAAAAAATCTTTGAACTCAGCTAGGCCTGAGGTGAATTCTGGCTCCTGAACCCGTTCACCATGTGACCTCAGACGAATCGGTGGACTTCTTCTGAGCCCCTTCTGTCAACCTAAATAAAATGGATACAGCAATCCCCGACAGAGCTGTTGTGAGAATTAAACCTATCCGTAAAGTCTATGGTAAAGTCTATCTGTAAACCACCCACAATACTAGCCTAATAGGAAGCAGGCTTTCGTTAAGTACAGCTATTATTCTAAACACATGCTTGTGTGAATGCCACATCTCCAGCCACTGTTCAGGACTTCCAGCTCTGGAATTGAGGGAGTTTGCTCCTTAATGTATAATACGGTTGACCCTTGAACGTGGGGCTTAGAGGCACCAAGTCCCCATGCAGTTGAAAATCTGCATGTAACTTTTGACTCTCCCCAAAATTAACTACTAACAGCCTACACTGACCAGAAGCCTTATGGGTAACATAGAAATCAATGAACACAGATTTTGGAAATGTTATATATTTCTATACTATATTCTTACAATAAAGTGAGCTAAAGAAAAAATATGTTACTAAGCAAAGTATAAGGAGAAGAAAACACATTTAAAGTGTTGTGCTGTATTCATCAAAAGACCTCCACATCTACGTGGCCCTGCTCCATGCTGTTCAAGGGTCTGATTGTTTATACCAAAATTATGCACAGGGCAAGTTCTGCTACAAGTGAATCCCAGCAGTAATCCTCAAATTTCACATTTCAGATTTCTAAGCAGTTACTTAAAATTCCTCAATCCATTGCTTCTTGGCCTTTCGGCTAAGATCAAGTGTAAAATTCCTCAATCCATTCAGTTAGTTTGTAAAATTTAGGCAAACGTACTATGAGATGGACCCTAACCATTAACTTTAAAGAAACCTGTTCAAGATCAGATTAATGACTCACACAGGGGAAAATACAGTTTAAAGTCCCAATACTTTAGTATCCTAATGACATTTAGACTTGACAAGGTAAAAAACAAGTGTTATTTATGTGGCTTGCCAGGGTAAGACTATACGAGACAATACTGTACTTTCCACTACAGCTAGTATTTCACAGGCTGCAAGGTTCATTTATTATAGAAATAACATTATTTCTACTGTGGGGAAAAAGGGCACTACACATAAAGAAAAATTAAGATTACTCATCCTTTCCCCTTCTAACATATAACCACTGTTAACATTTGGTACCTGCTTTGTGGTATTTTTTTCCTTCATAAAAATGGAATCATACTAACACACATGATCTAATTTTGAAAGTTTTATTTTGTGATCTCAAGTGTCCCCAAATGTGTCAAATGCTATAGAAAACAGCAGAAAATACTAACCTATTTTTCCCCTAGATTAACAGAATCATGGGTAACTTTTTCTTTTGTTATTCTAGATTTTCTCTATAGCCCAATTTTAACCACCAAGATTACAGAATTTAACAATATTAGACATGATGTCAATTAGCGGGTGACTAGGATATGAAGCATGGACTGTGGTGCAACCACCACCCCTTAATTTCATGCTTCCTTGGGCACCTGGGTGGCTCAGTTGGTTAAGCGACTGCCTTCGGCTCAGATCATGATTCTGGAGTCCCGGGATCAGGTCCCACGTCGGGTTCCCTGCTTAGCAGGGAGTATGCTTCTCCCTCTGACCCTCCCCACTCTTGTGCTCTAATAAATAAAATCTTTAAAAAAAAAAATTCATGCTTCCTTGAAGGTCAGCTGAATTACAGAAAATAATGCTGCTCTTGAGCCACTTAAAAAGCAAAAACTTGTCTTTGCTTCCAAGTGACCGCATACAATTATAAAGGGTGTCCAAAACAGGGCAAACACATACCCTCGCTGGAGATGGGCTTGGGGTTGGGCTTTTAGCCTTTTTGACAGGTACCGCTGGTGACCAGTTGGTAGAGGGGGACTGGGACTGGACAGGAGATTGAGGTGCTGGGGGTTTTTTAGCTGCTGGCTCAGGAGATCCTGAGACAGATCGGGAGGACGAGACCCTCCTTATAGACTGAGGACTTGGTGAGGCAGCCCTAGAAACAAAGGGAAAGAACAAAACATTCAGTATCCAAGAGCAAAGGTCTTTTCTAAGAGAAAATAACCAACTACCATTATATAACCAGGTCACAAACTTTAAATATTTTACCACTTAGTCGATTCTACAAACACACACATATCAAATTTGTACCATCTAAGTCTCCTGGAGAGTTTAACCCCATAATCCTCTATCCGTTCTGTTAACACTTCTTCCTATAGGAAATTAATAATGCCAGTTCCTTGTACTTAAAACGGCTTTTCTCAGTCTTACATAGACATGCAGGAAATGTCCTATGCATTACTTCAGAGTTCAGTTTTGGAAGCACATCCCCCAATAAACCGGATACCTCTAAGAACCAAGTATAAAGTCCTATGGCATTTAGTTTGTGGCATAAGGAACTATTCTGAGAACAGAAAATGGATCTGTGAATAGTACCTTTAAGCTGCCTTAAAAGCCTGTATTCCCAGCTTATTCTTTTCTGTAATTTCTCAGTAAAAGGGGGGGGGAAGCTTTCAAACATAAAGAACTATGCAAGTTAGTGTTCCTAGCCAAGAAAGCATAAAATATTTTTACTTTTTTGTCTTTTTGGGTTCCGGAGTCCTGGAGACTCTCCTAATGGGCCTAGTACTTGGAGAAGGGGACTGCCTTCTTTGGGGTGATGATGATGCTCCTCTTCGAACAGGTGGAGGACTTGAGGAGGTTTGAAGAGCTCGAGGCCGTGGTGAGGGCGAATGCCTTTTGTTTGGTTGTGGTGACCGGGGCTCCCGGGTAGACCGGCTCGGGGAAGACCCTTTCCTATGCTTTGATGATAATGAAGGCGAACGTCTCTTGGTGACTGGGGAGCTTCTTTGTTTGGGAGGTGGAGAATGGGAGACCCGACGCTTTGGTGGTGGAGATGGTGATGCCCTTCGTTTAGGAGGGGGAGGGGGAGAAGCCGTTCTTCTCTTTGGAGGTGGAGAAGGAGAGTATCTCCTCTGTATCGGAGGAGAATATCTTCTTGGGGAAGGTGAGCGCCGGCGTGGGGGAGGAGAAGGAGTCCTAGGAAAAATAAACCATTAAGCTGAAAGGTCCAAAAGAGTAAGGCAACAGAATGCACAGAAAACTAACCAGAAGTTATGGCAATACTGTAGTTAAGCACCAGGCAAAGCCAGTACATTTTTAACTGGATATGCTATGCCTTTATCCTCATTTAAAGGAAAAGAAATCACTTAGTGGATCTGTTTACCCTAGATGATTAGAAAACAGGACATTCTGCTTAATGGAGAAATTTGAAGTTTCCAGAAGGAATTCAAGTTTGTCAAAAGTCATTTAACATAATCCACATGGAACCAATTTAATGGGTTTTTTTTTAAGAGAATCTTGCATAAATTGTGAACACCCATTATCATTATGTACAAGCTAGGTAGCTACATTGGCAGGACTCCACTATGGGCTAACTTAGGAAGTCTATGCTTTAAAAAGCTCTCCTGGGGGCAGCTGGGTGGCTTAGTCAGTTAAGTGTTCTGCCTTTGGCTCAGGTCATGATCTCAGGATCCTGGGATCAAGCCCCATGTGGGGCTCCCTGCTCAGCAGGGAGTCTGCTTCTTGCCCCCCCCCTCCCCAGACCCGTTGATGCTTTCTCAAATAAATAAATCTTCAAAAAAAAAAAAAAGAGCTCTATGTGGTGCTCTCTTGACTGACATTTGGACTTGGTAAGAGTTCACTTGCACACGTTTTAAAAGATATCTCTACACCTACTCAACCCTTCCAAGGAGAGACTTGGATTTTGTGTCTCAAAAAAAAAAAAACACTTTTCAGTGGAAGTCTACCTACTAGGCAGAATGCATCCCTGTAGAAGTTCAAGCTGGCCTTCCACTTAATGCTTAAGTCCTATATAATCTTAACTGCCTCTTAGAAATTCGACTTGAATATGACATTCAGTTCCAACTGCTTAATTTGCTCCTGAAATGCTCAGACCTTAAGCTCAAAATATTATCCTGCCCAGAATCAGCTTTACAATAGGCTACTTTCTGGACAACAACGTAGTGTGCACCTCCATTTCCTCACCTGAAAAATGGGAATACCACCTACTGAGCAAGATCATCTCAAGGACTACAGATTAAGTATATAAAGCACCTAGAGCACTTTACCTCGCATATAGTAGGCATTCAATACTGTTCGGTAATGTATTTGAGCAATGTCCTTAAAAATTTTCTCCCCTTTTATTCTGAAATCACTTTCAATTTACAGAAGAGCTATAAAAATAGAGATCTGCCACTTAACAGCTCCTGATAGCGTAACAAAAATGATCAAAACTATGCAACTAGCCACAGCACTTAGTATTAACTAAATTACAACCCCGGTTTCCCACTGTCTCTTTTTTTCCCCAAAATCACAATTCTACATTATATTTAGTTATCATGTGTCCTTAGTTCCTGCCAATATGTGACTATTCCTTTGTCTTTCATGATTGCCATTTTTATTTATCTTTAAGATTTTATTTATTTCAGAGAAAGAGCGTGGACAAGCACAAGGTGGGGGGACAGCAGAGGGAGAAGCGGACTCCCCGCCAAGCAGGGATCCCAATGTGGGGCTCAATCCCAGGAGCAAAGGATGATGACCTGAGCCAAAGACAGATGCCCAACTGACTCAGCTGCCCAGGATTGCCATTTTTTAAAGAGTACTAGTTACCTTGTAGAATAACCTTCAATTTGGGTTTGTCTGATATTTCCTAATAAATCAGACTGAGGTTCTGTATAATTGGTAAGGATACCAGGATAAGGTATCCGGGAATTATAGAATATGTACCACTGACTGTTACCTTGATTCCTTAGTTAAGGAGGTATGTGCTGGAATTCTCCACTGTAAAGTTAGTATTTTTCCCTTTGTAATCACTAGAGTGACTTCCCCTTTTAATTTAACATCTTTGTTGACATATGATTCACATACCGTAATTTTAAAGGGTACATTTCAATGGTTTTAAGTATATTCAGTCGTGTAACCATTGCAACACTACCCATTCCCACCCTACCACAAATCTACTTTTATCTCTATAGATCTGGGTGTTCTGGACTTTTCTTATTAACAGAATCACATAATATGTGGTGTTCTGTAAATGGCTGAGCAATGCCACTCTAGTAAGATATTCTAATCATAAAGTTGCTTCAATTAGGTCCCACTAACATATCTGATAAAATACCTTCGTCGTGGTGGCGGAGTGGGGGACCTGCGCCTACGAGGAGGAGGGGCAGGAGAAGGAGAACGTCGCCTTCTGGTAGGTGGTGGGGAGGGACTCCTCCTCCGTCTACCACTAAAGTACCAAATAGAAAAAAAAAATTACAGGTGATTTGGAGTTAGCATTTATAATTAAGTGATCCAGATGACATAGTTTCAATCATCGTTAACCCGAAGTGCAACCAACTGTTCCCTCTATCCCTCAGTGCAATGTTTTTCAAACCACCTACCAAGACCATTAGTCAAGACTTTGAGAACCAGCATTTAGAAAATCAAAATATATTTACTTGTGGGAATGGTCAATTTTGTTTCGTAAAATTTTTGTTTCAGTATATAAATATGCAGAGTTTGGGTCATGATACAGAAATTCTTAGAATGACACAGGGTGAAGAAAGTCTGAAAACACTGCCTTATGACATTGTTTTTTAATTTGAATGCACATCACAATTACCTAGAAAGCTTATCTGAGTTTGTTTACCAGGTCCGGACTATGGTCTAGCTGGTGTATGCTGAAAAGGCTCTCCAGTGATTCCGATTCCTTATTAGGAACAACTGTTTTAAACTCAGAAAAATTTCCACATCCTAATTCATAAATTTAAAATTTTAATAGTCACCAGAGGCCGAAGGCCCCAAATCTGGGTGTCACTGTTCCAAGTTCTCAATTTTTAAAAATGTATTTCCACTATTCAAGAGTTGCTTACTACTAACTAAAACCACTAACCCAAAAACAAAGGATTAAAAGTTGAGCACTAAAGCTATGACTGGGAGCAACATGGTTGAAATATAGATAATTATACAAAACCCTAATTCTGAGCTGTTATACACTTAACCAACACAAATGCACACATGAAAAATGTATCAACTGGACTAACTCACAGCAGTCTCCCAAGGGATATATTAAAATATACACCAAACCAGTTTGCCACCTTTTGGCTAAGTTTGTATATACAAAGTAATCACATACTATAGAGTTTTCAATTTCTTGGCCAGCATAGGATTGAAGCTTCCTATGAACCTAGAAATATTTTCTCAAGCTTACTAGTCTTTGATTCCCCCTTTAATACTAAGGAGAGCTCTGTTACTAATAGGACACAGAAAATCCTGAAATTCATTATTAAATTTAATTATTTTCATTATTTAATTTTCAATTCCAATTCGTTTATGCCTCGTGGGGACTAAGACTTCACTTGAACAGGTTTAAAATAATAAACTACAAGAGGCAATCTATGAAGACAGATAAGCTTTGGACGAAATGAAATGTAGACAGGAACTACTAACTGTTAAGAAAATACAGTAAAGGAGAAACCATTTTATTAGCAGGGTATTATCTGAGAATTACAGGACCCAGAGACAGGATAACCACAGTATTGATTCAAGATTTCAAATAGGAAGACATTGGGGTTTTGACTTAAAAAGAAGCAAAAGGAGTTTATAGGCGCAAACTAAGAGGATGAAGTGATACAAAGCAGAACTCTCAATGTTATCAGTAAATACAATTGCCTAAGAGAGTATTACTGTTGATTATGTGGCTTCTTTTTAAAAATATTCTCCCAATTTCAGTTTGTAAAATCTAATCAGTAACTAAAAAACTGGACTCAGATTAGAACCTATTATGATAGACTAATGACCTGAGATATTTTGTGCCTCATCTTCAATGGTAAAACGAAAGGCCAAACAAAAGGTCCCTTGCAGTGATGACCCTCAACGTCCTGCTATGTGAGAAAATAACCAAAAAGAGTAAGTAAAACCATAACCAAACTTGCATTAACTTAAGGAACTGCTAGAAAAATCTGATAATCACTTAAAACTGGAGTCTTGACACCACATGGCTCCATGATCTGAAGGCTACAGAATTTCTACCCGAGCTGAGAGGGCACACATTTCAAGGATTAAAACAAAGAACTAATCCGAGATCAATCTATTTCAATTTTTCCATGTGTTAAAAAAAAAAGTGACATAAAGCCCAAGGTTCAATATATTTCTAAGAGGTCAAGTTTGTTCACTGTATTATTCAAAATTCTGAATGCTTAATGTATTTCATCTGCTTAAACTAACAACTGTTTTCTAGTTATCCTGAGTAATGCCAAGCTAAGCTTTCAACTGTGCAGAAATTGTTGAGTAGTGAAGATCCCCTTCAAGTTGTGTGAGAACCGATTTCAGTAAGCCTCAATATGTGATGTAGCCCTCAAGTATGTAGAAACGCCAAGTTTTATCAGAAGGAGCCAGCTTGCTATCTCTGCAGCGACCTCTCCGAACAACCACTTCACTAGCAGAAGCTATAGATGTGACAACTATCTTTTTAATTTTTTTGTGGTAACTTCCTTTGTACACTATGATCAATATGCCTTTTATCCTTTAAGTTAAAGAGTGTTCAATACCCAAAGACAAGTGGTTCAAAGCATGGAAAATACTACCTGTTCAAAGTTTAAAGTTTACATATGAAGTAATCCAAACCAGGCTGTCCATCCCCTTTTAAAAATATAATACTGAAACAAGGTTCCAAAGAATTCTTTCTCCATCTCTAAATCCTAGACACCTGATAGCAATTTCTAACATCATTAAAACTGGAGGCCTTTTTAAAGAGGATAAACAAAAATACCCTGGAACAGGGTAGTGAACATCAATGTTGATAAATCATTTCCAATAAGAAAGTACCTCCATAAGGGGACGGTGTAGGAGGGGGAAGGAATCTTACCACTGACCTGATTTTGTAAAGCAACTTTTTAGCTGCTGTACTAGCAATTTTCCAGAAGTCAGGGATATTATAGCTGGAAACGGAATGACTTGGCATCTAAATTTATCTTTTTTTAAAAAAGGTTTTTATTGTCAAGTGTTCCACAACACAAATACACAACTTTGCTCCATCACAAACACTGCTGACTAGTTCCAAACAATCTTTCCAACAGAACTCTTATTATTAGCGAGACTACCTAAAACAACACAACTTCAAAAAGTGAGCTATAAAGAGGACAATGTGATAGTTTCATGAAGGATAAATACTCAGAAATTTAGCAGCAGCTAAGACCCCCCCCCCCAAAAAAGGAAAAGACTAATGACAATATAATGGTATAATGTCAACAGCACAGGTCTAAGATCAGGCTTTGTCCCTTTACACCCTAAGAGACTCATTTTACTACTTCTGAGCCTTTTTTCTCACTTATGAGATAGGCCTAAATTAGAGATTTCTGCTTATGATTAAGCTCTAAAATGTTAGTTTTTATAGTCACAGACACTGATCAAAAAGGTTCAGTGAAGATATGCAACCTACCTTCCTACTGCAGAGGACACTGGCCAGAGCCTCATGTTCATCTTTAATCTTTTTTAAAGTCTTTCCCAAGTTTTTCTTCTTTCCTGAAAGCCACCACATAGGCTCTCCCCACTAAATCTAAGGAGCTATTATCCTATTGCTTGGAAAATAGCCAGGTACTATAACTGAACAAAAATCTAAGCTCAAATGGTACTCTAAAATGAACACTGTGTACAAGTTCTGTCATTAATTTGATGTGCAAAGAAACATAATCAACTAGAACTCGGGAACTTCTCACAGCCATCCCCACCGTATACACAGGGATGGGAGGTTACCTAAATAGCAAATCACGTCACTACACTCTGACATGTAGCCTCATGTACAAAGTAGTGGCTAACCAACCTTTTAGTCACTGGCGATTGCCATCGCTTTCCCATTTGCATCCTGAGAGCAGTGGAAAAAAACAAAGGTCAGGAATTCCATTCACCAAATTATTTACTTCAATGGAGTTAAGTGATTATCACTAATGGCGATGTATTTTTTTTTTCTTTTTGATGTTCAAAGATGTTCAGAAGTTAATGCTATGGTTTCACTGATCTAGTCATGCAGACATAAGACATGGTGGTACAAACAAAACTTACCAAGATCTCACTAATAGTGATAACCACCAAATAAAGCAAATGTCCCCAAACCCCCAAATCTGACCATCTCCTTCTCTGAGTCCCTGAAATGAAGGGATTAACCAATTTCTAAAATAAGCCTATAGCCCATCCTTTAAGTTAGAAGTTTCATCACAACTACAGAACACCAGTGAAGACTACTGAAAGAAAAGACATTACCGAGGGGAAGTCTCTTTCTGGCGCTTTCGAGGTGATGGAGAGGCACTCCGGGAAGGGGAATGTCTCCGCCGCCTGCCTACCTCACCATTCTTCACATGGGACCTCTTGGGTCGCTCATCTTCTGAGGAAGAAGAGGAGCCAGAATCTATAATTACACAATAAACAAAAATTACATTACATCTGTGCTTAAGAGAGTCTACCCATATTTTCTGAATCTAAGCAGATGGGAGTGTCCAAATTAGCAAGTTAAGCCCACTTATGCAAGTAAGCACGTATACAAACCATCAGTTCTGAACAAATGTTATCATCAATACAGTCAATGACTTAAAAACCAAGCATAAATATACATCATTATTATATAATTTACATAAATCATTCCCAAGGCACACTCCAGTAGGATACAAGTGTCCCTTAAGAATCTAGTGATTTTCCAAATTAAGCGCAAAAAGCATCTCAAGCAAGTACTTGAGGCTTGTTACTCTAAGCACTTTTAAAACTACTGGAAGTCCTATTAGGGTCTGAAGAACTTCTTCCCACATCCCTAGCATTTATCACACAAACAAAAAAAACGTATGTGACAAGCCTTTCCTACAGGCCTGGTAGCAAATGTCTGGGACTGCAAAAAGAAAAACTTCAATTGTTTGCACATGGTTTCCTTAACTTAAAGTAACTATTAACTGTTCCCAAATATCAAAACAAAGTCCCAGGGCACCTGTGTGGCTTGGTTGGTTAAGTATCCGACTCTTAATTTCGACTCAGGTCATCATCTCAGAATCTTGAGATCAAGCCCTGTGTCGGGCTCTGCCCCTAGAATGGAGCCTACTTAAAGAGTCTCTCCCTCTCCCCTCCCCCATGCTTTCTCTCTCCACCTCTCTTAAAAAAAAAAAAAGAAGAAAATAAAACAAAGTCCCAAGTACCAGAAACACCCAAGACGTATATGCAATTTTTTAAGCCTTCCTATGATTAGCTTCATGTTTAAAGAACTGCAAAAGCTCGATGGGCTTAATGGACTTAATGCCGCTGTGGGGTGCTTTGATCTCTGTGTCGTAAATGAAAGCAAAGGTAGCACACCTAGACTCAGTCACAAATACCCAGAGCTAATGAAATTAATTATTAGTAATTAAATATTTATTATTTTACAGATATAAAGTACACAAAACCCAGAAACAACCTAGATGTCCAAGTAGGTGACTGGCTCAATAAATTACAGTCTATTAATTATTACAATAAAAGGTTCTGGCTATTAAAAAAATTAGATCTAAGAACAGGGAAAGATATCTAGATATAGTAAGTTAAAACGGGAGGCAACATAAAGTTTGAGCTTATGCAGGGTTTTTTTTTTTTTCTTTTTCCCTTTTAAACCATAGATCCTTATACACGGCACAGAAAAATTCTGAAAAGCTACCAGGAGTAAGACTAGGAATTGGAAAAGAATTATGCTTTTCCAAATTTTATACCTGTCTGTTTTACTAGTGTACTGTAAAGATCTACTGTTTATAACTATTTAAAAGAAAATTAAGTTTTAAGAAAGGACTTAACACCAAAAACCAAAAGTAATACTTTCCTCCCCTTGAACAGATTTCTATGCAGGCACATACTTCTCCTACATATGCTCACTACAAGGATGGAGATTTGTATTTGGAGTATTTTTCATGAGGCTATAGACAGAAAACAGTTAACTCCATATCCGTACCAGATGAGGACTGCTGGTTCTGTCGTCTGTACTGACGTCTCTGCTGCACAGAATCTGCCGCAGCCATTTTGCCACCTTTATCTTCTTCTGAAAGATGGATGCATTTAGAAAGTGTTTCTTTAGTTACGCATACAGAAAATGTAACATACTTGAATTGGAAAATGGTCTCTTAAACCTCTATCTTATTGGGTCAAGCAATACAACTGTATGTATATATATTTTTCCTTACAAAAAGCTTTAAAATGCCAATTTAAAAGCTGATTTTAGACTATGTTCACCAAATGTAATCAAAATTTATTTACTATAGGTCAAGCTAAGTGCTAAAGACTTTATAGGCATTTTTTCAGTTAATCATAAAAAACCTAAAGGATGGTAACTGTTATCTGCATTTCAGATGAAAGAAGTGAAGGTCAGATAAATGAAGTAATTAAACAAAAAAGCAGTTAGGGCGCCTGGGTGGCTCAGTTGGTTAAGCGACTGCCTTTGTCTCAGGTCATGATCCTGGAGTCCTGGGATCGAGTCCCATGTCCGGCTCCCTGCTCAGCGGGAAGCCTGCCTCTCCCTCTGACCCTCCCCCCTTCTCATGCCCTCTCTCAAATAAACAAATAAAATTTAAAAAAATAAAATAAACAAAAAGCAGTTAAGTAGTGAAGGGGGGATTCAAACCAGGTTGGTCTCAACTTCAGAGCCGTAGCTCTTAACCACTAAGTCATATCCTATAATTATCTTCAACCAGAGGGGTTGACAAAATGTGCCAAAAAATCTAATCCAGCTTAATAAAAAAATATACAAAAACTTACCCGATTCAGATAACTCTACTTTTCTAGGCTTAGGTGCTGGTGAAGGGGACTCTCTTTTCTCAGTACCTTTATGTTTTGTCACTAAAAAGAAGGAAAAAAAATACATACGTGGGAAAGCAAAACAAAACAAAGCCACACAAGACACTGTCTTAATGGTACAACAGGTGTCACTATCCTTATAAAGAATTTGATAAATAAATCAATAATTTAATAAATTAAATGTTTGGTGAAAGCCTTGAAAAGCACTGTAATGATTTTTGAATCTGAAGATTCTCCTAAGAGAAATGCCAGTTAAGAGAAACTGGGAGTTGCTGTTTTGCAGCAGAAGCTCTGTGTAGAAGATATGTGTAACATTCAACTCAGTAAAGCTTTGGGCGCGATCCCACAACCTAAAAACACATACTCAACTACGGAGGCATCATCAGCACAAGAATTTCCAGGCACCCAACTATACCTGGGTTCAGGAAAGTTATAAAACTGATAAATGGTTAAGAAATAGATCTGATGAGGGACGCCTGGGTGGCTCAGTCGGTTAAGCATCTGCCTTCGGCTCAGGTCATGATTCCGGGGTCCTGGGATAGAGTCCCGCATCAGGCTCCCTGCTCTGCGGGGAGCCTGCTTCTCCCTCTGCCTCTCTCTCTCTCTGTCTCTCATGAATAAATACATAACATCTTAAAAAAAAAAAAAGAAAGAAAGAAATAGATCTGATGAAATCTTCAGAGAAAGAGATTTGTTTTGGAGCAGAAGAATGGGCCACCAAGAGACTAAAGATTCTTTATGTACCAATACAACCTTCATAATAACATGAGAGATTTAAACTACCCATAAAAAAGTAAATCCTCATAATAGGAAAACTAAATACTAAGGCTGAAGGATTCTTTCCAAAGCTTCAAATGGGGGGGGGGGCAGAAGCTCTGAAATACACCTAAGGTAGGAGAGCTGTGAGCTTCTGAATTATCCAACTTCTCTTTTCCAAGTTGCATGGAAAATTATGGCAACTGCCTTTTGTATGCTTGCTGTGTTATTAAGCAGTGCTAAGCACTGTCGCTAGTATTAACCCCCATTTTACAGGTGGAGAAATCTGAGGCTTAAAAAGAAGTAACTTCAACTAAAGTCACATAGATAATTAAAGTGACTAGGATCTGAACCCAAGACTATTTCTAGAGCACAGGTTTAATTTCCACCAATTAACCAGCTCAATTTATAATATCCATCCAGTGCTTCAACTAAAATCAAAAGTATATACAGATATAACCGTCAGTCTTACACAGATTAACCTGAAACATCATTTGAGACCATGCTGCTAAGAACTCAATTTGAAGACAGTATGATCCCCTGAGGATCCTTATTTATCTTTTTTGTTTGATTAAGGCAATTACCATGGGGTGTTGACCCAGAATGTAGATACATTTCTTTTAACACGCTCATACTCAGAATTCTGTAAAGCCTTATTCTAAAGGGCAGTAACTAAGACAGCTAGTGATCTAAAACAAAAATCTCATCTTTGCTAAAGTAGTCAAACTGAAAAATTTACAATACCTTTTTTTTTTTTTTTAAGATTTACTTGAGAGAGAGTGAATGAGAACAAGCAAGGAGGGGTGGAGCAGAGGGAGAGAAAATCACAAGCAGACAGAGCCCAAAGTAGGGCTTGATCTCACAACCCTGAGATCATGACCTGAGCCAAAATCAAGAGTCGGGTGCTTAACTAACTGAGCCACCCAGATGCACCCCTCCCCTTTTTTAAACCACGACACTTTTTAAATGACCTGCATTTTATTAATGATTCTACCTAATAAGTAAGCGTTTTCAACAAAGCACTGGATTCGGTAAAAACAGTTAAAACCTAATTAGTTATTGTGAAACATGGCAGCAAAAGTGCATTTAAAACTTGTATTTTAACAAATTCAAAAATAAAATACAAATGCTTTTAAACTTTCAAGGATTTGAGGCTATTTTTCTGGATCAGTATTCTCCACTGTAAAGTGTCAGTTAGTCTTCAATTCTTGACATTTATTAGAGGCATCCAGTTATCTATAAACCCATGTCCAAGTTACCACCTAAGAGAACTGGGTTCCAAAATTTGTGTTTGGAAGCAAACTGAACGTCAGAATGCATTTTCCTCAAAGACACATTAAAAATTTGGCTATGTCTGCAAGACAGTTGACAAATGCCAACTGAATAAACACAACTGAACTAGAATATACACATTTTTCCCCCACAGAAATACATAATTGCAATTTTATCTTGATCCAATCTCTCATGAACGGCTTAAGTCTACTGTCAAAATATTCATACCATTAGAACAAGCATTATATACCCCAATGCTGGTTTAAATATGATTGACTGAATCGTAGTATTAACAGAGTTAACGTTTCATCCGGATGTGTTTACCTAGATGAGATTTTAGTGTTTATTATGTTAATGTTTTATTTTTAGTATTCAAGGGGCAAAATCATTCTAGCATAAAGTCAGAAATCTTCTAAGTCAAATGAAAAACCAGAATTTTAAATTTACTTCAGTAGTCCTATTAATTATTAATCTCCCAGACTTGTCCAAACGATCCTGTGTAAAGATAAGTCACTGTTACCAGAATTGGTGAAATAATCATTGTCTACAGAATACAATTTATAGGGTTAAACTCATCTCATCCTAAAATTACAATAGGTACAGATCCTCTGTAAACATACTTCATTAAATAGCCCACTGATTTCAAAGCACTACTTTATGTACTAAGATAATGCCAATATAACTGACACACCACTGATTACAAAATGCTTCCTGAAGATCCTTTCAGATAAGAATGTACAGTACACTCCAATTTACCTCTAAATTCCCTCAAATACTTTCCCTGAATCCTTCCTACTCCATTTGCCCAATATTAAAAAGTCCTGACTGGTAACTACTACATGAAATAAATAAGTAAAATCTATTACACTTCAATGGTATCACTGATCTTATTAGCCATGGATTATCATAAAAAGGAATTTCAGAAATCACATCACCAGGTATAGAAACTAAAGAACTTCACCCTGCCCTCCATCTCCCACCTCTAGCCATCAAAACAACATTCTGGGATAGGAAAGTTGGGCAAAGTATACATTTTTCTACTGGGAAATGAGAACCCAAATTTTAGTCCTGGCTGGTTGACCTTGACCAAATCACTTAACCTGAGAACCCGTTTCTTGATGACAGTCTCTAAAGTCTGTTCTACCTCTGAAATTTCATCACACAGACTAGGATCATTTTACTATAAAATGTTATTTCCAAGTAGTTAGAGCCAAATTCAGCTTCAGTAGACACACGGCAAGGTTGTCTCTGACGATGTTGCCTACAGTGCATCTCTTTGGCTGTGTTTTGTTTGGACATGGAAAACCTGTCCCAGAATCCATAGGAATATAATTAGTTCTTTGTCTTCCACCATGACTTACTTCTCTCCTATGTGCATATCTGCTTTAATTTTTTTTTTTTTTTTTGAAAGCAGTGGCCCACTCCCCTTGACAGTGTATCAGAACACAAGAGGTTGGTGCTGGGGTAGACTCTGAAAAAAGTTAATTCTTAGCAACCTATTTTAACAAAGATTCAGTCCTCCCGTCCAAATACTTTTATTACTCTTTGGCTATAATATAAATAGAAAAATCCTAACTTGATGTGTTTTTGTAAAATAAAAGGTGGGTAGTATTTTTTCACTAGAGAGCTTTCTGGCTCCAGATAAAGGAGAAAAAAAATATTCAAAAATACAAACACTTCACAGAAAAAGAAAAAATTGGTTAGGACAATGTGCCCAGATTTGGACAGGGGGCTGGAAACTATTGAAATTGTACTGATTTTGAACAAAAGGTAATATGGGACATGAGGTAATGAAAATAAGTGACCCTAAGGCCCCCTCCCATACTTAAATTAAGTCTGAACCTGAAGACCCAAATGTGTCTATTCTCATCCAGCTGTCTAGGTATAAAGAGCCAATGTAACAAAAATGACCACATATGTAATTATATAGTCACCAAATCTGTTACAATTCAGAAAATAATCTACACATTACTCTTTACAGATCAGCATTATATACCAGTCCCCGGTCACTCTGATGGCTTGTCTATACCTCAATAAACAGTCAAAATTTTGCCCGTCCCCATTTTTTTTTCTAACCTAAAAATTTAGATGTGATCAGAGCAAGCCCAGTATAGATCAACTTACGACTGCTTCTCAAAAACCAACTACTATTGCAGCTTTTAGGATTTCCCCTCCCCCACTACTCACCCTTCAGGCTATCATCTCAGCCCAAAGCAAACAGATCCTACTGCTTTTCTCCTTGTGTATTTATGCTAAAGGAACAGACCCCAATACACCACAACCTTCGCTCAGACTAACAGAGCATTCTACCTGCCTGGCAGGATCAGAGATCATGAATTCCTCAGAAATCAATCTGCAGAATAAACCAAGGGCAACACTCAGAAGAACCCTGCCTAGAGTCTAAATTAATAAACAAATCAGCTTTTAAGAGGACACCATGTTCTTCCCTAGGGAGCACAATGTGGCCAAGAAAAAATTAAAACAGAACATGAAGTCCTCAAATAAGATATCAAACAAAAAAATCTTCAGGGGAAAAAAAGTTAATCGGTCTTCATAGTAATAAAATGATCCCTTATCATGACAACACAAACTTTGATAAGTTATCCCAACCCAGCCCACGGCTGGTAATGTATTTCTCCACCTACTTGATGCCAGAGGACAACTGCTAAATACAAAAGACATTTACATGCAAACTTTACTGCAACAAATCCTAAGAACTTAGAGCAGAAAAGGTGATAAGCAAATTTACAAAGAATATCACATACAAAATTTTACCCAGCTACTTCACACCCTGAGGGGAGAAGGGCAGCAGGGGCAGCAACAACTGACTGGGCACTTTGGAGTCAAATGAAGAACAAACATTTTTATGCGTCTGATTTTTACCTTTACCTGAAGTTCTCCCTGGAGAGACAGAAACACGACTTTTTCTCGTACGGTTTGACTGCTGGGGTGTTGGGGAATGACGAGTTTTTGGCGGTGGAGTTGCTGGAGGTGATGGCCTATGCCTTCGCCTGGGAGGACTTGCTGAAGGAGATAACCTACGAGTTTTTCGAGGGGGGCTGGATGTCCTCTTAGGAGGCTTCTTTGGTGGTGACCGGGAACGGGACGAAGAGGATGATGAGCTACTTCCAGACAAGGATGCTGATGAACGCCTTCTTCTGTGGAATAAAGTATTTGCATTCATTAACTGCGTATTTTGTCAAGAGGGACCTTACAGGTATGTACAGTTTACACAAAAATATAGCTATTTTTATCCAACTTTTGAGTTTATGTAGCTAAGCACATAATAAGTTAAAAAAAAAAAAAGGGAAACAAAACCACAACCTAGGACAGGAAACAGCTAGTTCTGAGACTAAATACGAATAACTTATTCTGACAAGTGCTTCTGTTTGAGTGGTCTTTCCAGTTATAAAATGTCACGTTGAGTGCTATAACATGGTCACTAACCAGTCTCTTCCTTCCTTAGGAAAATCATTACTGTTTGGAGTTTGCATACAAAATTTGGGTGGCAAAGTATTTTCTACTTCATAGCACAATGTCCAATAACCTTTAGGTTGCAACTTTTTTAAAAAAAATGTGCAGCTGGGTTTGGAATTCATTTAGCTACATAAACTTAGAAGCAGGGGCCTCTCGAATTCTGCGGCAAAATTTGTGTAAGTTTTGTTGCAATTATGTGTACCTGCAGAATTCACCTTTGGCGGAAGAATTCCTGAGAACCTGAAAAAAAGAAACCCTACCTTAAGTGTGAGATAAAAACTGGCTGAAAGGGAATCTTACACAATCTGCAAAATATTTTGACTGCTAAATGGCTCAGTAAGCACAATTAAAACACAGTTTGCAAAACTCCAACATAAGAAATAGCTGTTTCCACTAATCTTGTGCTAGAAAGCACCAACATTACTTTTCTCCTAAAAAAGAATAACCAATTTTAGAAGCATGATGCCTAAATCGACTGACCATTTATGCCATTAGTAACATCAAGTCTATCATTTTTAGCAGTAGTCTTAAAAATGGTTCAATATATCACAACAACCCCTTCCCCAAATATTTTCTTTGAAAAAATATGGGACTTTGAAAACCCTGACTGCAGAAACAAAAAATCACGGAGTTTGGTATTTCCCCTCTCTATTTCCAGGTAGATTCATATCCCTGCAAAAATCTCAAAGACTCAAACACAAAAAATTCCGTGCTAGGTATAATCTGAAGCACAATAATCACAGCTCCTTCCAAGGAGAAAAAGGCCCCCAACTCTGCTACCAGTGCACCAGGCCTCTACTTCGGGCAGATTTAGCAACAATCTTTTTGTTAAAAGATTAGGTCCAAACATTTTAACCTCATGCCAATTTTAAAATGATTTTTAAGAAAAGAACACTGGTACTGACAGGGTTACTTTTATGTCTTATCTCTTCAAAAATACCTAGACATCAAACTGCTAAAAATGGCTATATCCATGGAATGGGACTATGGGTAATTTTCCCTTTGTTATTTGTTTGAAATTTTATAAACATTCATTTCTATAACGAGAAAAAAACATTTAAAACAAAAATATAACTGCAAATATGTTATTTTAATATTGGTAAAAGCAGCTTACTGGCTCTGTGGTCATCTGCTTTTCAGAAGCCAGTGATAATGAAAAACCAAAGGAAGAGGGAAGGTGGCAAATTCCCTTATCCCTAGGAGATCTTGGGATCTAAAAGGGGAAGTTAACACGGAGTATCAGTAAAATGGTCAACCTGTCTTCCCCCCCAACACTGCACAAGCACTGCTTTTCATTGCAATTAAACCTCAAATGAGAGGCTCTTTAGAAGGCCATCACCTACTTATCACTCACGAGGTCTTTATTCCAGGGGGACACTAATTCAAACATTAGCCTCAAGCAAATGTGGTGCACTTTAATGTACTGACACTTACAAATTAGAAAAGGAAAAAAAGGAAAGGAAAGGAAAAAAAACAAACAAGAAAAAAAGAAAGCCCTCACCGTCTCACTGGAGATCTACTCCTTCTATGCCTGGGTGGAGGCGGCATTCGTCTTGGTGGGGTTCTTCTTCGAGGAGATGGCCGCCTTCTCGGACTTGGCCTCCTTCTAGGTGAGTATGATCTGCCATAACAAACAGAATTAGGGCCTGAATAAACAAGAGCAAGGAATGAATTC